TTTTTTTTTTTTTTTTTTTTTTTTTGGTACCAGGGATCAAACTCGGGACCTTGTGCTTGTGAGGTAGGCGTGATGCCACTTAGCTAAATCCCCAGCCTGAGCCAGTGCTTAACATGCACTCTCCCCAAAGCCTGCTTCACTCTCTCTGTGCTCCTTGCCGTGTGAATTTGAGCTGGGCACCTCTGTGAAGTGGGGACTCAGGAAGGAAAGGAGCTCTGGGCCTGCAGCCATGCTGGGCTTCCCACATATGGGGTTAGATATGCTAACATTTGCCCAGTGCCCGGCAGCGGGGGTCCTGGACTGGAGTGGGCAGGGATTCTGTGGAATCTGTGTAGGAGAGAAGCACTGGGCACTGGCCAGATGCTGGAAGTCCCAGTCGCACTGGTGGAAAGGGTGGCTGTCCAGAATGTGGTGGGGGAGAGCTGCGATCCCAGTTGCTAGGCAGCACACCTCCCTGGACGCCAGTTGCTATGGCAGCCGCTTCCTGCCCATGTTGCCATGACACTCAGATGGCCTTGGGGAGCCTGAAGTGGTGAGGAGGGGCTACCCTCATCTCCCTTGGCTCATGTCCAGGGGATGCTCGGGAGGGAGAAGAGGGGAGGCTGGGATTTACCAAAGGTGTGGAGACTCACACCACCGGCCCAGCTCTGGGCCCCGATTGGGGCATTCCTGCGGTATTCACTGTGGCTCTGAAGCTCAATGTCCCCAGCTCTTCTCAGAAGCTGGGAATTGGGCCCTGTGTGCCCACTGGGGGCCTCTCCTTTTCTAGCCCTCAGAGCTGCCATGCACGGAGGCTCAAGGTGTCAGCAGAACCTGGAGAAAGATCTTGGGCCAAGGTCCAGGGGACTCTGAAGATGTCTCAGGCCTCTCGGGTGCCCTGAGACTCATAGCCAGAAGGATGGATCCACTGGGGTCGGGATGAGGGGTGGGGTGGCCTGTGGACAGACCAACCCATTCCAGGGCCAGAGGCCTGGCTGCTGGTCCTTCGCTCCCAGCAAGTGGACACAGGCCACCGAGTGCTGGGCAACTATCGGCCTCCCCTCCCCAGCCTGTGGGGGAGAGCAGAACAGGCTGGGGGTTGGGTCCTGGGAGCAGGGTGTGGCCTAGAGGGCACTGGGTAGGCGGTGCCTGTGAGGTCTTCCTAGGATTCTCAAGTCAGAGGCTGAGGCTCAGGGAGGGGAAGGCTCAGCACATGGCTGCTCTGTCCCCAGCGTGGTTATGTGGCTCCCAGGATGCAGACAATGGGAGGCCATTTGTCTCCCTCCCAGGTGATGCTCTGGACCCCCGCTGCTCACGTATTTTATTTAAGAATCAGAGAGGGCCAGGGATTTAGCTCAGTGGTTCCTCCACCTGCTTTGCAAGCCCAAGGACTTGAGTTCGATCCCTGGTACCAAAAAAAAAAAAAAAAAAAAATCAGAGAGGTAATAAGAATGTCAAGGAAAATCCTCTTGTGGACAGCACGGCCCCAGTAAATTACCACCAGCTCAGGATGTGAGGGCTCTAAGGCCTGGAGAAGCAGTGCTCTGGGGAGGCCACGGCCCTGTCTCCACCAGGGTCACCATGGGTGAGGTGACATATCTACCCTGCCTGGAACCAGAGAACCCCCTTCCCCCATAATCCCATCCAGTAGGCTCAAGCACAATTTATTTCTCTTTCTCCCTTCCTTTTTTTTTGCTTTTTTTTTTGGTACCGGAGATCGAACTCAGGACCTTGTGCTTGCAAGACAGGCAACAGAACCACTGAGCTAAATCCCCAGCCCTCTTTTTCTTTTTTTT